TATTTTGAGGTTATTATTGAGGTATTCGCAGGTTATTCGTGGGGTATTATTAGGTTATTCTCGGGGGTATTGTCAGGTTATTCTCTGGGTATTCTAAGGTTATTCTCCGGATATTCTTTGGTTATTCTCGGGGGTATTCTGAAGTTATTCTCCGGGTATTGTCAGGTTATTCTCGGGGTATTCTCAAGTTATTCTCGGGGTATTCTTAGGTTATTCTCTAGGTTTTCTAAGGTTATTGTTGGGCTATTCTAAGGTTATTCTTGGTGTATTCTCAGGTCTCGGGGTATTCTCAAGTTATTCTCCGGGTATTTTCAGGTTATTCCTGGGGTACTCTCAGGTTATTCTTGGGGTATTCTCAGGTTATTCTCAAGGGTATTCTCAGGTTATTCATGGGGTATTGTAAGGTTATTCTCAAGGGTATTCTCAGGTTATTCTCGGGGTATTCTCAGGTTATTCTTGGGGTACTCTCAGGTTATTCTCAAGGGTATTCTCAGGTTATTCGTGGGGTATTCTACGGTTATTCTCTGGGGTATTCTCAGGTTATTCTCGGGGTATTATTAGGTTGTTCTTCGAGTATTGTCAGGTTATTCTTGGGGTTTTCTAAGGTTATTATTGGGTTATTCTCAGGTTATTCTGGGGGTATTCTCAGGTTATTCTCGGGATATTCTTAGGTTATTCTCGGTGTATTCTCAGGTTATTCCCGGGATATTTTAAGGTTATTATTGGGGTATTTTTAGGTTACTCTCGAGGTATTGTAAGGTTATTGTCGGGGTATTGTTAGATTATCCTTGCGGTATTCTAAGGTTATTATCGGGTTATTCTAAGGTTACGGTCAGGGTATTGTAGGTTACTCTTGGGTTATTCCACAAGCAGATAACAAAATTTTGTACTCAACAGACAGATGAATTACAAACCATATATCTATAACTTCCAATTAGAATAATGTTATATGAACTTGTACATTGATACAGATGAGTTAATGTGGGCATAACACGTTATAACAGGTGAATTATATTGGGCACAGAGCATGTTGGATTCGGTGTGACAATTTCCTGACTCAGAGAGTTTGACGCTGCAATCGTATTTGTGTCGTAATTCCTGTGCGATTCTTGTGTCATATATGTTTCTTGATTTTTTCCTGTGAACAGTGGTAAAATAATAAGACAATTAATTTTACATATAATCGTTAGTATATGGAATGTAGAATGCTAAATATATGTAATGTAGAGATATATACCTTTAGCTCTCTTGTTTTTTTCCCAGTATCCTTTCAACCTCGCATTAGAAATACCTTTCGGTCTCATTTTTGCATGATCATTCACATTGCAGTCACTGTTATGGGATTTCCTCTTTTTGTTTGGCCTATTTGGTTTAGGATCCTTCCCATCTAATATATCCTCAATACCTTCGGACCCTGTTTTCAATAATTCAATTATATATGTCTGGGCGCGTTCATTTCCCTGAGCTTTATTAATTAATTGGTAGACAAACTCTTGAGCATGTGACCGAAATATGATTTCTCTGGATGTTGTGTCAGACATTTGAGCCCGATAGTTTTTCATATGTTTGTATCCAAAATTATTATAGATATCTTTCATTGCTTTAGCAGACCATCTGAATAACAAATATTTCTCAGGAATCTTTGTTATATTATTAACATTAAGGACGCGTAGACAGTGAGAGCAAAGCAAACCTATCATTTTGAATTTCTTGCAACTGCAGGTGATATCGCAATTAAGCCTATCAAATGTAACAAGCCAGGCTCTACTTGTGTCCTGGTTATCCAAACTTCTAACATAGAATTTGGATGGACTCTCACTTGAGGAATCGACTGTCAATCCACATAGCCCGTGAAGTAACTCTTCCTCAAGTAACTCGTAACTCTTCCTCAAACATAGAGTAGAGTTTCCGGGTATAATATGTTGCAGCTTGCCTCAACACTGGGCTTATTTTAACTATCGGTGTAATAACATTTCGAAAGCTTTGAAGTCTTCATCTTTTTCGTTCCTTCTCCATGACTTCATAATATTTTATAGCTCCAGAAAGCAATCTGTTAGGGAACTAGTGGGCTTAGATGCACCATAACAGACATTATTTGTGGACTCACTGCTTTGAGTAGACAAGATTCCCATTCCTAAAATTTCTTTATTGAATGCAGTTGACCAGTTATGTCGTATACGGTACAATGCATCTAGCCACATGTTGTTGTGCAGGTTTTCTTGCTCGATCATTAGAGCCAAAGTAGCTTCGAACTCATCTTCCAAATCACACTTGCTCATGCATTTATAAAATAGATTGTTAACGCTCTTGTACGTCACACCGCAATGAACTTTCGACGAGAATTTCTTATAGATATGTCATTGACATAATCTATGTCTTGTGAATGGAAGACAATATGCAATACCTCTTTTCATCACTTGATCCTGATCTGTAAACATTGTAATTGGATGCTTATCATCCATTATACGAATGAAGGTTTTGAATAACCACTTGAATGATTCTATCGTCTCATCAGATAAAAAACCAACTCCGAATAGAACGTTTTGCTGATGGTGGTTATTCACAACGAAAGGAGCACAACATAAATTATACTTATTCAAACGATAGCTAGTGTCGAAAATGATGACATCTCCAAAACAATCATAATCTAGTCTGCAAGACCCATCACTCCAGAAAAAGCTTGTAAGTCTGCCCTCGTCATCACTTTGGAAATCTCATGCAAACATGTTATCTTTATTTTGGCGCTCCATGAATAATTGTAAGAGAGAGTTGACATCGCCCTGTTCAATTCTGCTTCTTTTATCCCTTTGAATGAAGTTGTATGCATCTTGTCTAGTACACTCCAAGTTTTCAACTCCACCAACCTCTGTAGCAAGGAAATTGAATGCATCAACAGCTCTAATCCCAGAACCTGTCATTGATCTTAGCAAATTTTCATTTAGCTCGTTAATCCTCTGACTGAAACGTAGAAGGTGTGTGTCACCGGATTCCGCCAAGGGGTGGTTATTTTATTGTTCAGTTGCCATCAAGATCAATAGCATAGCGAACCATTGCTTGACAGTCAGTCTGTGTATCTACTTTTCTGTACTTCAGAGTAGTGGCTAGCTGAGATTCTCTTTTATGACCACTCTTCAGATACTAAGGTAAGAGGATCGGTTCTTTGAAAATTCGGATTAATGATTAATGTGTGATATGATTTTTATGAAAGAGAGACTAATTTTAGCCATTCGAGCTTATTTTGGTGCCGATTCGTGGCCCTGCGGTGTCGATCTTGCTTGATCTCAACCTGGAAGGAACCCTATTGTTACCTTTGAATCATCGCGTGTTGTTTCTAATAGCAGCTTTTCTTTGAATGCGCTTGCTAGCAGCTCTTTACCACAGAGTAATGATGGAATAATCTAACGACAATTGAAGATTCACACAAAATCTTACTTTTTTTAGAGATCTGGTGGGTTTAAGCGCAGGTTATTCTTAGATTATTGTTGGGTTATTCTCGGGTTATTGAGTATTTCTTCAATCAACCCGAAAATAAGTAATCCTAAACACAGAATAATGATGAAATAACCTAACGACAATAGAAGATTCACATAAAATCTCACTTTTTTTAGAGATTTGGTGGGTTTATGCGCATGTTATTCTTAGGTTATTGCTGGGTTATTCTCGAGTTATTGAGTATTTCTTCAATACACCCGAAAATAAATAACCCTAAACAAAGAATAATGATGAAATAACCTAACGACAATCAAAGATTCACACAAAATCTAATTTTTTTTTGCAGATCTTGTGAGTTTATGCGCAGGTTATTCTTAGGTTATTGTTGGGTTATTCTCGAGTTAGCAGGTTATTCTTAGGTTATTGTTGGGTTATTCTCGAGTTAGTGAGTATTTCTTCAATCAACCCGAAAATAAATAACCCTGCCTAATGAATAATGATGAAATAACCTAATGACAATTGAAGATTCACACAAAATCTCACTTTTTTTAGAGATCTGGTGGGTTTATGCGCAAGTTATTCTTAGGTTATTGTTGGGTTATTCTCGGTTTATTTATTGATTATTTCTTCAATAAACCCGAAAATAAATAACCCTAACACAAAATAATGATGAAATAACCTAACAACAATCGAAGATTCACACAAAATCTCACTTTTTTAGAGATCTGGTCGGTTTATCGCAGGTTATTCTTGGTGGGCTTATGTGCAGATTATTCTTAAGTTATTATTGGGTTATTCTCGGGTTATTGATTATAACCCTAAATTAACCCAAAAATAAATAACCCTAAACACAAAATAATGATGAAATAATCTAACGACAATCAAAGATTCACACAGAATCTCACTTTTTTTAGAGATCTGATGGGTTTATGTGCAGGTTATTCCTATATTATTGTTGGGTTATTCTCGGGTTATTAAGTATTTCTTTAATCAACCCGAAAATAAATAACCCTAAACACAGAATAATGATGAAATAACCTAACAACAATCGAAGATTCACACAAAATCTCACTTTTTTTAGAGATCTGGTGGGTTTATGCGCAAGTTATTCTTATGTTATTGTTGGGTTATTCTCGGGTTATTAAGTATTTCTTCAATCAACCCGAAAATAAATAACCCTAAGCCCTAAATAATGATGAAATAATCTAACAACAATCGAAGATTCACACAAAATCTCATTTTTTTTAGAGATCTGGTGGGTTTATGCGCAGATTATTCTTAAGTTATTGTTGGGTTACTCTCGGGAAAACGAAAAACGATTGAAGTAAGCAAGACGTCTTTTATTTGAATAGCAGACATAGCGCACCGGTTTTTAAAATATTTATTCAATTCTCACTTCAATGAGCATCGGCAATTGAATTTAACTTTTTTTTTCTCTTTCCAATTTCTGACGTCCAAAAAATAATTCGTACCCTCGTATGTCCACCGGGGTGCAGAAACCGCACAAGAAAATAATACTAATAATAATAACAATAAAGTCACGCTCAATATTTGCTCCCAACGTCCGGTCTAATTTTTAGTATCTTGGCTTCCACAATATAAAAGGGAGGCGGAGGGTTCCTGAAGAAAGCAACCCTTGAAGCCATGGCTTTGATAAGTTTCACTTCGCCGAGCAGCTTTGTCAAGCAAACGTTCCATTCATCTAATCAATCAAAAGCAACTGGAAGTTCTGCAATGGTCTCCATGACTTCCACACTCCCTACACCAAATACAAAGTGAGTTTCTCATGAATCATTCCTTAAGATCATTTTCCTCTTCTGTTTATTTACCATATCTCCTTATGATGGTTCGGATTAAGCAGCCACAAGAAGCCCTTCAGACCCATACATGAAGTGGACAATCAGCAGACTCACTCCATGCCATCCGAAAAGATAGATATTTTCAAGTCCTTAGATGAATGGGCAGAGCGGAACATACTGACTTTTCTGAAATCGGTGGAGAACTCATGGCAACCGCAGGATTTCTTACCTGACCCTGCCTCGAGCGGCTTTTACGAGCAAGTGGAGGAGCTGAGGAAGAGGGCAAAAGAGATCCCTGATGACTACTACGTTTGCTTAGTTGGGGACATGATCACAGAAGAAGCTCTTCCAACTTACCAAACAATGCTCAATTCCTTTGACGGGGTAAGGGATGAAACAGGTGCAAGCCTTACATCCTGGGCTATTTGGACGAGGGCATGGACCGCAGAAGAGAACAGGCATGGGGACCTGCTTAAGCAGTATCTTTATCTTTGCGGAAGGGTGGATATGAGACAGATTGAAAAGACGATACAGCACCTAATAGGTTGTGGAATGGTAAGGCATGGCTTTTCCCTGGTTTACTTGCGCTTTCCCAGCCTCCGTTTTCTTTTTAGTCCTGTTTACTAGATTACTTGGGGATTCATTCGGATCTTTTTTATTTAATATTTTCTTTTTTTTATCATTTTATTTTATTTTAAAATTTAAAATAAAAGTATTTTTTGGACAGATATGATTATTTTTTAAAAATAATCAAAACATTGAAAAAATTATTTTAAGTATTTTCAAAAATATATTAATATATTGAATAAAAAGGTGGAAATATGTTACATATATATTAAAATAATAAGAATGATTAAAAAAAAGTACTACTTTTTTCAAAAAAAAAAAATTAAGCACTAACTAATTTTAACATGATAATTTAAGAGAAGGCTATGATAATGATAATTTAACATACTTGATATTCCACACGCAACTATTAAAAAATTAGTTCTTTTCTGTATAATTAATTATATATTGACTAGTTGTTCAGACTTTGAATTAGGAAAGCATTTATTTTTGTCCCAGAAAAAAAAGCATGTTTTTTTTAGGGTTATTTTGTTTAGTTGTTCAGTTTAAAAGAGAGTTATATTTTTATTTACTTATTTATTTATTATTATTATCATTATTACTGTTGCTTTGCTAGATTCCAAAAGTTGAATTTTCTAATAAAAATCCATCTTTGTATTGAAGAAATATATTTTTAATGATGAATTATTGTTAACAATATATTTTCATTACAATACAAGATATTTCCTACATAATATATTTCATCTGAAAATAATTATTTAAATACACAATGCTTTACCAAGATAAATGATTTCAATAGAAACATGTGATTCTGTGTGAGTGCTTTTATTTATGGTGACATTTTATATTCAGAAAGATATATACTATATCAATGAATCTTTATGATACATGTTATGAAATATGGATTATAGAATACGGTTGATGTGGTGGAATATTTATGACCAACATTTATTATCATGCAACGATATGCATTAGTTGTTTCCCGTTCAAGTTCAAGAAAAAGCCATGTGCAAAAAGTAAATTTTGACTGAGGTAAGAAGACTTTGATTTTCTTTATGCTTCAAATTCAAGGAACGACTGATTTGTTTCCTGTTGTTTTAAATACTGTTTCAGATCTCGAGTGAATGAAAAAGTACTAATTACTGAAACTCTATAATCGCATTCTAAAAATAGTAGTATCATTCCACAAGTAACAAATCAATCAGGAGGCCCCTAAAAATACAGTCTGTTAGGGGATGTCATGAATTCATCAATGCTCCCAAAAAAGTACTAGTGCTCAAATCTAATTTTAATTTTCTTTTACATATGATATCCATTTACTTTTTTTCATCCATTATTTTATTTTTTTTTTCCATAAATGATTTTATTTGATACAATTTTTTTATGCATTTATTTTTCTTAAATAAATCAATTTTATTTTAAAAAGTATCAAAAAAAACAAACAAAAAATAATTTTAAAAATAAGTCAGTATATTTTCTTCATTTTTATGCATTTATTTTTCTTAAATAAATCAATTTAAATTTAAAAAGTATCAAAAAAAACAAACAAAAAATATTTTTAAAAATAAGTCAGTATATTTTCTTCAAAATTAAAACTAAAAATAATAATAGAAAAATTATTCCATACGGACGGACACCGTCGATCCTGACCGTAAATCAAGTGATCTACGGTTAGGATGTATTTTGATGGGCTCCACCTAAAATTTTTTTTTAAAAAAGAAAAATTAAAATATATACTCACCGTAGATCACCGTATTCTACGGTCAGGATTGGACACCGCATGCATGCGATACAGAAATACATGTAGTGTTCGTACGCAATAATTTCTGTGTAACAATAAGGGGAAAAAAGCCTTCTTTGATCTAACCACCCTCAAACCTTTCTCCTTTCATAGTACATCAATACAGAGAACAACCCATACAGGGGATACATATACACATCCTTCCAAGAGCGAGCCACATTCATCTCACACAGCAACACCGCCCGCCACGCCAAGCAATACGGCGACCTCAATCTCGCTCAGATCTGCGGCACCATCGCCGCAGACGAGAAGCGGCACGAGGCCGCCTACACCAAGATCGTCGAAAAGCTCTTCCAGCTTGACCCCGATGGAGCCGTCATCGCCTTCGCCGATATGATGAGGAGCAAGATCGTCATGCCCGGCCACCTCATGTTCGACGGACGCGACCACTGCCTCTTCGAACACTTCGGCGTGGTTGCGCAGCGCCTTGGAGTTTACTCGGCCAAGGACTATTCAGATATTATGGAGTTTTTGATTGGGAGGTGGAAGGTCGAGAGCCTCGTGGGTCTATCTGATGAGGGAAGGAAGGCGCAGGATTTTCTCTGCGGATTGGTGCCCAGGTATAGGAAGCTGGAGGAGAGAGCTCAAGTGAAGGCGAAGCAGGGTATCAGTACTCTGCGTTTTAGTTGGATTTTCGACAGGGAAGTGCGGGTGTAAACCGGAGAAAGAAAAAGATTGCGTCCAATTTGTCTTTGTATTGATTATGCATCATATTTGAATATTTTATTATAAATCATGCTTTATGTTGCTTTGATTGATTCTGATTAAAGTTGTTAATGAAGCTTCTTTGACAACCAAAAATTTCTATTTAAGATTGGTTCCGGAGTTCAATGATGGAGCGTCATGTGCCAACTGGTCCCCGTCACAATTGGCCAGTATTAAAAACGATGGGGCTCACTTGGCACGTGGCTCTCTACCATTGAACTCTGGAGTACGTATGTAATATTTTTTTTATGAATTAAGTCCATCATAAATTTAATTTCCTGTTTTGAGAAAATTACTAGGTTCAGATGAAATAGATATATAATGTGCGGATTTTATTGTTGTGTTGGTTCTATTGACAAGATCACTAATCAAGATATATATCCGCATGTGAGTAGATTATGATTGATTGAAGTTCTTCTTTTTGTGAGGAAAATTATTGAGATTTAGAAGCTTTAAACTTGTTCTCACCGTTATATAGGCTTTGAATGATTTGAATGAACGTATACATGGAATGATTCCTTAAAGGTGAATTTTTAGTCTTTCTCTTAATAAACAAAGTATGATTTAAAAGTCTGACATATAAATAAACTAATTAGAACATGACATTTTGTTCATTTATACACATGATCTTGTTTACTTAATTTTGAATAAATACTTTGACGAGAAGTATAAAAAAATTTCATTTAATTCATATTCATCGACTTATTTAATAGCTCCATTCATTTATTTGCATTAAACTTTTTACGACTTTCAAGTGAAGTATTTTAGTACAGGTATATGAATCATTGTTGAGAAGTTGTCATATGGTTTGTTTTAATTCCATTCATATTTTGTTCATTAATACTTGAACATGAAAAGTTTAACATATATACTAAATAACTTTACCTGTTTTGTATGCTAAACTGCACTCAATCTCTACAATGCAAATGAGCATTTACATATACCCCAGACAATTAATACGTATTTACATATCTAGCATCCAACTTTTTAATATCTCAGCAAAAATATCACTATCATCTATTTTTTTCAAAGTGAATAAACCTTTTCATTCTAGATTTATCACACCAAAGTGTTTTAAATGTAAATATGAAACTTTAGGTGTTAGCTATGTAAATACATGAGAATTGTGCCGTGCTTAAGTATAAGGATGAACATGCACTCGAAAAATATTGATAACACTGTTTTTATTTTAAGGATCTAGGTTTATATGGTTAAGAAATTAAAAGGTTTGGATCAAGTTGAGTCGCGGTCTCTACCTCCAGAATCTAAGTATAATTTACTTACTTTATAAATTTTGTACAAACTTATCTTATAAGTTAAAGAGAACATTATGTTTAGAATGCAATCTTCCTGTGTTTATTTTGTTAGGCTTAATTAAGGATCAAACTCGATGAATACATAAGAAAATCAATGAAAAAATCTTAAAACTATGTTAACACGTTAAAGCTTTCAACAGCCTAGAAACAAGCTGAGCATAGCAATTCATGAAATTCATTGGCAATCAGTTATATACTGAAATTCATGAAAATGTAAGAAATCAAAGTGATGTAAAGTTCTTTGTTATGCCTACATATTGACATATCAAGTTTGGGTTTAATTTTCATTTGCTTTCAAAAATTTGAATGGATTGTGTAATTTGTTAAAAATTCGTTTTGGTAAAAATGAACTGTGACAACATTGTATGTATATGAATGTTTGATGCGTAATGGATGGGATAGACATTTGTTGATGCGTAATGGATGGGATAGACATTTGTTCTTTTTTAATCATTTTCCTTTTATTCATGAGAAAAAAATTGGTGAACTCCTACACACCATATATGTTGATGCAATACTTTTTTTATATATATATATATAAAATTAATAATAATATTTGATGCGTAATGGATGGGATAGACATTTGTTCTTATTTAATGATTTTCCTTTTATTCATGAAAAAATATTGGTGAACTCTTGCACACCATATATGTTGATGCAACACTTTTTTTTTATTTATATATATATAAAATTAATAATAATATTACTTGGCACTAAATGACACAATCATAAGTCAAGCATGAGCACCGAGCATTACGATAGTTGCCCAATTGGAGAAATAACAGAGGTTGTTCCTGAAGAAGCAAATACATTACAGTGGTGTCAGCTTATGACAAAGTGGTCAAAACCTGATGATCAAGCGATATGTATAATTTGTTTTGTAGGCTAATCAAGATAGATTATTAGTGTTTAGAATTAAGACACAGCATAAAGATTTGACATGAGTGTCTGTGAATGTTAAAGAGAGATGAATTTCATTTATTTAACTTAATTATGAATACGATTTAAAGTAATTTTTCGGACTGGTTGTAATAGTTTTGTTTATGATAATTCAGCTGAAAGCATTAGAAATGCTTAGTGAAGAAGGTTTAACATTGTAAGATGGAATCATAGAAGCAAATGAGAGATGTTTTTTGACAATTATAAGGCCTAAACAGCCTAGTAGAGCACACACACAAGGTTTTGATGTTATTTCAACTAGTTTCTCATAACAATATCACTCCATGTGAAAAAAAACAATAAAAATAGCTTCACTTGAGTGGCTAGATGGATGAATAAATCTGATAAAGAGATACAAATTATACTATCTGAATTGTGATAATTCATGCATCAGATTCAGATGAATTGTCCATCATAAGGTGGATCAAATTCATTATCTATCAATGATTAGTTATAATAAGATCAATAACTAATTTTGTACTTCTTAATTGATGGTCCGCAACGATAATTCCTCTAATGTCTGACATCATGGAAGGACAATATAGATTTAGTGTTCAGTTATATTATATTTTATTTATATCAGTAATATTTTATAAGACTAGTTTCACATTTTGTGTATTATATTTGTTATTATGAACACTTTTTATATAAGGATGTTATGAAAGTATGAGTTTTCATGTATATATTTTGTTATTTGTGGACTACATGACTAATTTTTTCAGTATATTGCATGTTAATCCATTTTTAGCCAACCCTTCCTATACTGTAAGGATCTAAAATAAACTAGAAATAAAATATGCAAATAACAATCAAATGCAATTAAATTCAATCAAACTCTAAAGTTGGATCGAAAGGCAGCTTGATGAGCGAATATTATGAAATTATCATTTTTATACTCCAAAAATATCATTTCCTCCATAAATCATAGTATTACTAGGAATTTCATGCTATGAGCAACATTTGGTTCATTATCAATGTACGAATAGCTTGAAAAATATTTTGGCGACTATCAGATGACTTTCTTTACATGAAGTTTTGTGTAGTGAACTTTCATGCAAGAAAATTTATCCCATGCAATTTTTTCAAATGGGGAGTCATTTTTTAAATAAAATTCTGTGAATCACCCAGATTTCCAAAATCTTTTAAATGAGCCCCTCTATGCCTAAATCTTTTTTTAGGCATGGTTAGCCTACGACTATTTGAATGATAATTAGGATAACTTGGACAATAATTACAATTTTTCTCTCAAAATGAGATCAATTCAACTCCAAACTCAAAATACAATCAAATTAAGTTGAAAGCGTTGAAATTGGACAATTTTAAGCGCATCTGATGTTTTAAAAAATCTCAATTTGTTATCCTGCGTGGAGCCCATATATTGACCTAAATTTTCATGAGATGGGGACAATTTTGACCAAAATAATCCCACCATCGTGTTCTTATGTTTTTCTATCAAATGGGCTAAGAAGTTCTTCATACCAAGCTTTCAGCTTTCCTCTCAACACATCCCACAGTGAAGCATCAAAAACATCATAGAGTGGAGGCGGCCACTTTACACCACAAAAGTGGCACCTATGTGCCTTGGATCCATGGTACCACAAAAGTGATGACTATGTGCCACTACTTCTATGCCAACACTTTGGTGCCTCCTAAAGCTCCACCCTCACTCTCGTAGGCCATTCGTCACGTCACTTTCCCACCCAAAAAATTGTGGGAGCTCCAACTTCTAGGGGAGGCATGACCGTCTATCTCTGCCTCAATCAATAGTCATTGGGGTTGATCCGTGCAAGGCAACCACTCTCGCCACCACCTCTCCCACTCTTTGTCACATATAAATAGCCCCCTGGTCCTCATTTTGACACCTTTTCCCCTCCTCCTCCCTCTTTAGTGGTTCTCCGACCATCTTCTTCTAGTAGTGCTCTCGGTGGTGTTCAACTCTCCTCCACCAGAAGGTCTTCTTTCTCCTTTAATTTTAATTTATTTTTATTTTATTTTATTTTATTTTATTTAAGTAATTAATTAAATTGAATTATTTAGGTTAGGCTCAGATTTAGGCTAGCCCCAAGTTAGCTTGAACCTAAATTGACTCGAATCTTATTTATCTTAAACCTGACCTGACCCCAACCCAACCTGACACGAACTCAACTAGACACTAATCCAATCTAACCTAAAAACAACCCAACACAATTCTGATAAAACTCAATCCTGAGTTGATCTAGACCAATCTGACTCGTCCTGATCATTACCCAACCTAGCCCAACCTGGTGCGACCCAACCTAACCCAAACTAGCCCAACCTAGCCTGGCCCAACTTAAGTCAACCCAACCAAACCAAGCCCAATTTAGCTCGATCCAAACTAGCATAATGTAGCCCAACCTAACCCAACCTAGCCCAACTTAACCCAACCTAGCCCAACCTAGCCTGACCCAACCTAGCCCAACCTAATCCAACTTAGCCTAACCAATTCTAGCCTAACCTTTCCCAACCTAGCCTTTCCAAACCTAACCCAACCTAGCCTAACCCAACCTAGCCCAATCCAACCTAGACTAATCTAATCCAACTTAGCCCAACCAAAACCAACCTTGCCTAAACCAACCTAGCCCAACTTAGCTCAACCTATCTCAACCTAGACCATCCTAACCGAACCTTGTTGAAACCCAACCCATCCGAACCTAACACAACCCAACCCAACTCAACCTAGCCTAACCCCACTTAACCCAACCTAGCCAAAGCTAACCCCTTATAGCACAACCTAACCCATCCTAGCACAACCCAGCCTAACCCAACTTAGCCCAACCTAGCTCAACATATCCAAACCCAACCTAGCCCAGACCAGATTATCCCAAAATAATCAACCTTAGCTAATCCTAGTTGGCTCCAGCTAACCTTTGTTAGCTTTTGCTAACCTTAGCTGGCCCTAACAGACCTTAG